CCAAAGAGAGAAACCTTCTGGTGACTGAACTGTCTAGGGATGCTTCCTGAGAAGGACGAGGTGTCCCAGGTGGAGTGGATGGCCACTGCCTGTTGTGGATGCACGTGACCTCAAAGTGTGTTCTAAACACTTGAGAGCTATGGGATGTGATTGGCCTGTTGCTTTTTAAAATTCTCTCTGTGTGGGTGTCTTTACCTGTTTCATTGATGACACTTTTGAGGATTTTTCAAAAACAGTTGCTAAGCTTCACTGAGCATCGTCTTCAAATCGTATCTCGGGGCAGGCACATGCTCCTTCCTGTCACGGAACCCGACCCCTCACACCTGCCCTTGGATCGTCCCCACCCCGTGCGGTGTGTTCCCCGTCACCGCTGCCCTCCCCCTTCCAGGTGCTGCTGCAGCAGGGCCCCCGGAAGTTCACGCGCTGCTCAGAACATGAACCTGGCCCAAAGTGCCGCCCGCAGGACGCAAGCGCCGCGTGTCCCTCTGGGCCTCTGCCGCCCCCACCCCGCCCAGGTGTCCCCCTTTCCCTGCGTCTGCACCAGCAGGTGGAGTCCCCGTCTGGCCCCCCCAGGTGCATTGGTGGGGAAGGGACTTTCCCTTTCGTGCACCAGCCCTGTGCGGTTCTCGGGGTGAGGCCGGCTTGACCCCCTGTCCGTGCGATGGGCCCGCCTCCCGGCCGGCTCACCAGCAGCACGCACGTCGCCTTCTGGACCAGAGCGCCTGGGCTCCTTCCCGGAGTGGGTGTTTTAGCCACCCCCCCCTGGACTCGTGTAAGAAAGGAGTCTGATTCGGCCCGAGGTCCTCTGCGCAGAGCCGTGGCCCCATCTGGGACTGGGGAAGACAGCAGGACAGGTGTGTGTGGCCACCTCGCCCTCACCAGCTCGTGCTGCCCGCTGGTTCCACCCCCGCTCCGTCAGCTCAGGGGGCCTTTTTGAATGAAAATCAGAATGGAAGTCTCGAAGGTGCTCTGCTCCAGGGGCTGCAGGCTCGGGGCTCACGGCCCCGGCTACACGGCCCGTGTCACCATCACTGTCGGGTGCTGTGTACTCGGTTTTCTTCCACTTCAGCTCGACTCAGGTCTTTGTGTATGTGCAGAACAAAGACCACTTTCAGTCCAGGCTGTAGCTACACATTTTCCTGACCATGTAGCAAGTGACTGGCAGATTCTGTAACGGGAACCCATGGTCACCCTGGATATCTGTTACTCTTCGTTCTGTATGTAATGCATTTGATTACATGTTACTATGTGAGGAATGTAGGAAGTGTCTTTACAAGGGAAGTAAGAAAAATATCAGTGCCAGCTGAGTTTTCTAAGTTTTTACTTGTATCAGCTATTAGGCCAATTCACAGTTTCTCTGTACTTTTGCTCGAAAAGTTCTGATTCAGCACACTTAATTTACAGCAACAGAGGGACTCTCATTACCAGACAAAGTTGTTCTTTTATTGTTTTCTGCACCATGGTCTGTGATTAACTTACTACCCTGGTTCTTGCTTTGCAGCCCCGGAAAGATAAGCTCTTCTTGGTGTCCGTACTACAGCAGTGTTGGCCCCAGAGGCTCATAGAAATAAGCTCTTGGGCCCATTTGGGGCTCTCTGCTCCAGAAAAAGTGTATGGTTAGTGTTGGAACCTTGGGCTAGCTATTTTCTTTTTGCCTTATTTTCTCCATTCTTGCTAAAGATGGTAGTTTACTCAGCTTAAAATAAATTTTAAAACTTTGAACAATTAATTGACCATTTCTAGTTTTAATGCAAAATGTTGTAATTCTAGGGTTTAAGTATCATTCAACAGTAACCCTTGATTTTGACCTTGTTGTAGAAAAGTAATGGAATTGCAAAGGAAAATAATATAATATAAGCATTATCCATTTATTCATGAAAGATTCCCCCACCAATTGTACCTAAACAGATTTCCCCCCCTTTCCCCCCAAACCCCTCCCTGACTCCGTACTTGAAAGGCTGTGGCCTTGAATAAGCTCAGCGGCAGCTCGGTGACCTGCAGGAACTGACTGCGCGCCAGGCAGGTGTGCTAGTGACAGCCGCCCAAGACCCAGACACCTGGCAGAACTGCCGGTGGAAAACCCCAGAGCTCAGAGCAGGCGTATCCTGGCAGCAGGGTGAAACGAGGAGATGCTGAAATCAGGACTGCATTTAACTCCTAACTGGCTGGCTGTCCCATGCCCTGGGGACATCCAGGAGGAGGCCGGAGCTCCCTCTACTGGAGTCCGGCCCATGGTGAGGCTTCCAGGCAAGGGCCAGGCTGGACTCTGGGCTCTCGGTCCAGAAGGGACTTGGGTCCTGGCTTTTCCTCCAGGCTCTCCCTGGAATTGGAGGCCCATCCCAGAAAGAGGCACAAGAGGCCATGCCGACTGCCTCTGTTCAGCAGCCAAGATGTTTACTCACAAAACACGAATGAACAGCCGCTGTCAAACTTTTGAGGAAAGTAAACACAAAAGAGGTGATCTATGTAAGAAAATAGAACAACTAAGAGGAAGTGACTCCGAAAACAGAAGAGGCTAGAAAGAATAAACCTTACTAATTTGTGGAGAGTATTTAGTAAGTATAGAAATCAAATATTAATTTGAAGGTCTGGGAAATACTCATTTAATGCATATCGAGGCAGGCAGCACCGGTCAGTGCTGTGGGGAGCGGTGCGGGGGGCAGTGGCTGCCACGGGGGAGGGGCAGTGACAAGGAGAGGGTGTGGGGGGGGCCCCTCTGGGACCAGAGGCTCAGTTTACTGAGCAGTTGCTGACTACGGGTTGCTCACTCTGTGAAAAGTTGCACACTCTGTTATACTTTAGTTAAAACATTCATGGAAGGTGAAATAACTCAGCGCTCACGTCTTCGAATGAAAAAAATGATTCAGCAGTTTAATGGAAAAGGCAGAACCTGGAAGGAACCCTGAAGCTTTTCTCAGAACTGGGTCTGTCTCCCTAGGGGGTAGTTTCTAAAGTCCCTGCGCTGAGCCCCGAGGCTGGCTGCTGGGGAAGGGGCAGCCCTGGGGCACGGATAGAGGGGCTGCACCAGGTGCTGGCTTTGCTCTCAGGAGGATTCCCATGGGCGGGCATCGTGTACCTCTGAGAAGGCAGGCGAATAGCCGGGCCTGGAGTCCGGAGGAGAGGTCAGCCAGAGGTCGGCACTGGCGGGGGGACCTGAGCTCCCTGCTCTGTCCGCAGGGTGTGCTTTCCACCCGGCCTCACTGGGGGGACTCCGACCCCTTCCACGTTCAGACTCTTCTCTGTCTTTCGGGGGATGGTGTGAAGCCAGCCGGTAGCTGGCTTTGCCAGCTGGACCGCCTCCGTGGGGCTCGGATGAAGACCCCAGAGGAGGCCACTGTGGCCAGGAGGACTTAGGTATCCGAACAAAAGATTAGTAGGTGCTAGGCAGTTCTGTGGTTGAATGAATAGAAGGCAGGGCACCTCTTCTTTTTTCATACATTTAGTTTATTTTTTTTAATTATTTTTGGCTGTGCTGGGTCTTCGTTGCTGCGCGCGGGCTTTCTCTAGTTGCGGCGAGCAGGGTGTCCTCTTCGTTGTGGTGCGCGGGCTTCTTGTTGCAGTGGCTTCTCTTGTTGCAAGCGTGGGCTCAAGAGCGTGTGGGCTTCAGTAGATGCAACGCGTGGGCTCAGTAGTTGTGGCGCACGGGCTTAGTTGCTCTGCGGCATGTGGGATCTTCCCGGACCAGGGCCCGAAGCCGTGTCCCCTGCGTTGGCAGGCGGATTCTTAACCACCGCGACACCGGGGAAGAATGCACCTCTTAATCTGCACTCCACCTGTGGACAGATCATCATTTTTTTAAGTGTCCATTTAGTGACCCGAAGTCACCCTGCGATTCCCCTCAGATGCTGCGTTAGAGCAGGTCATCCAGGGTGTGGTCCACCCGGCCCGGGCGAGCTCCGCTCAGTGCCCGAGGCTTGTCCCCCACATAGGGCCCCCCCACCTCCGCCTGCCCCTGGAAGAAGCCCCGGCCAGCGCCGCCAACAAGAAGCTTCTCCATCACGTCCGGATGTCAGTCCAGAGCCAACCACCCCCTCCGCCTGCGACCAGCCAGTGAAGGGGTAAAGGGCGGGCTGGACAGAGCGGGTGCCCATGCCCTCCCCCGCACGCCCTGGGGGGAGGGGAGCATGGACATCCCATTAAGCGTGTATCGTCCCTTTAAATGCATTTCCCCGAGGTTGGTGGCCTGTAAACATGAATTTTCTTTATTGTCTTTTCATGCTGCTTTCAGATGAGCTGCTGTCTTGCCCTGAAGACGTGAGGCTTCTGAGCAAGGCCTGGGCGCCAACTGTGGGCTGCCTGGACCTGCTGTCCTGGCCTTAACGTTCTGTGCGAGGGAGGAGTAGATGGTCACCAAGAGCGAGGGCCGGGCTGAAGCCCCCTGGAGGGTCCAGGTGCGGGCCAGCTGCTGTCGTAGGCGCCGTGGCCTTGCGTCTGCCGTCTGCGGGGTCGAATGACCGGGCTCTACACGCAAGGGGGGCGGGGACGTGTGCATTCAGTCCCCAGCGGCGACCTGAGTGTGTCCCACTTTTAGCCGCAGGACATGAGCGTCGGTTGGTCAAGACAGGAGGGTCGAACCCTGCTGAGGAAGCACCGTCTCGCTCGTACATGCTCCTCGAGAGTCGGGTTTCCTGGATCGTTCGTGTCTTGTGTGTGAGGCGGGGGCTGAACGCGCCTGGCCCCGGCGGGCAGCGTCTGAGCGCCAGGCACGCTAACAAAAGGAGCGCAGTCGTGTGGGACCCTGAATCACTCCTGGAAGTGGGGCCCCTCTACACCCAGGCGTCTAGAGATTTGGCCCCGAGTGAGCTCGGGAGTGTGTGAAGTCTCGGGGTGAGGGGTTTCTGTGGGCCCACCCGCCTCCCTGCACAGACAGGTGTGTTTCTGGGCAGCAGGGACTGGGGCGGGCTGCTGGGAGGGCAGGCGCACCTGGCCGGCCACTGTCAGGCCGTGTCGCCGCAGCACCCACGCTGGGCCCCACGTCACCCGCTCCCGTCTCGTTCCAGGCATCAGCAACGCGGAGGCGCGGCAGCCGGGGAAGGCCCCCAACTTCAGTGTCAACTGGACGGTGGGCGACTCGGCCATCGAGGTCATCAACGCCACCACAGGGAAGGACGAGCTGGGCCGCGCCTCTCGCCTGTGTAAGCACGCGTTGTACTGTCGCTGGATGCGTGTGCACGGCAAGGTACTGAGGCGCCCTTCCCCACCAGCCTGCCCGGGTGGCCGCCCCACACCTTGTCTCTTCTGGGCGCTCTTGGCTGACAGTCTGGCCCTGGCTCCTCAGATTCAAAGCAGGCTCAGCCCCCCACCCCCAAACTCCCACCCCAGCCCGCCGGAACCTGGGACTCGGCACTCCCGCGGAGTCCTCCTCGGGGCCCGCAGCTCTGGGGCGCCCTGGGTTCCGACCTGTGTGTTTAGAGGGCTTCAGTGGGGGTTGGGGGCTTTGCAGCAGCAAAGGCCCTTCTTCCCCACATAAACTCTCCTCTGGTGAGTCAGTATGTTCCCAGTTTCCATTTACTTGTAAGTCGGGTCAGTAGCTTTTATTTGTGATGGGCAGAGGTTGCTGCATCCCCGTGGCGGGACCCTCACCCGCGCAGGGGGCCGTGGGTGGCTGCCCTGCTGATTCTAAGATCTGCACAAAAAATGGGTTGGAGGAGGTGCGGGGGGGCTCGAGTTCTCCCTGTGACCAAACGGCCGAGGTGGTGTTTGTTAATGACCTGCAGGTGTGAAACCCGACCTTGGAGTCTGCTGCTGGCCAGCAGCCCCTGTCTGTTTAACCTGGAAGCCGCCACTTGGGGCTGAGGATGCAGACCCTCAGGGGGTAGCCAGCGTGGCTCTGTGTGACACGGTCCCTGGGGATGGCAGTGTCCCTTGGTTCCCCCCCAGAAGCAGCACTGTTTGAAACGCCGTTTTTTGAACATCATGCTGAGTTTCATTTTCTACCGTTGTTGCTTAAACAGTTGCACTTGTTTTTTCTTTTAAATCTTTTTACAGGTTCCCTCCAACTTACTGCGCTCCAAGATCACTAAACCCAACGTGTACCACGAGTCCAAGCTGGTGGCCAAGGAGTACCAGGCCGCCAAGGCCTGTCTGTTCAGAGCCTTCATCAAGGCCGGGCTGGGCGCCTGGGTGGAGAAGCCCACGGAACAGGACCAGTTCTCACTCACACCCTGACGGGCGTGCAGCACGGCCCCAAACCTCGCAGCTGAACCGGGGCAGGTGTGGGATGTGTGGGAGCTGGGCGCACGGCACCGTCCCCAGGGGCGGGCGCGCGGGGCGCGGGGTCTGGCGTCAGGGTCCCGTGTCACCACCTGGCATCTCTCTACAGCAGTGTTCCCCCTTTTGAATCATCCAGTGACTGCTTTCAACCTCAGTTTACATTTAGAAGTTGAGTTCTACTGAGTAGGGCTTCCTGAAGTTTAGGAAAAATAGAAATTACTTTGTGTGAAATTCTTGAATAATTAATTTATTCAGAACTAGGAATATGGTTTATAAAATAAGAAATAACTATGTCAGGTCACTCTTATGCCACATTACTTTGATTGCAAAGAAGCATTTATATACGGAGGGAGTGAGGAGATAGATAGGAGGCAATAGCCTAAAGAAACTGTACCCCTGTCCACATGTAGGTCCCTGTTCCCCGCTCGGAGCCCACGTCCACAGCGCAGCGGCCCGCAGTGGGGCGCATGGGGTCGCAGCCAGGTCCCTGCAGCCTCCAGCGTCCTCTAGAAGTTTCTGTGCTCCTCGTAGGACCATATCATGGAAAATCGTCTCTCAGTTGACTTCTAAATAATCAGAGGTCAAACATGATCAGTAGGCGTGGCCATTCATTTGGGTTTTTTAAGCAGTATTTAACTTTTAGGGACTAGAAGGGATCCACAGGGGCTATTGCACAGTAAATAACCTAGAATTCCCTCTGGTCCTTCCTCTGAACCTCCTGGATGTGAATGACTGTCCTAAGATCTTCACAGGATGGAAATAGAGCTAAGTAAGTAGGTATTCATTCTTGGAAAATGCCACTTAAGGCGTATTTGCTGATTATTCTTTCCAGCTTTATCAAGGACACGTTTGCAGCATAAGTGTCCAGGCTGAGAGCTGGCGAGACAGCGTGTTGCTGGTGGGGTCTCGGCCAGGTTGGGATGTTGGTGTCACGGCAGGGAAGGGGGTGGGTGGTGTGGAGTCGAGGGTGCCCGGGACACTGCTCGGTACCCCAACAGCACACAGGCCAGTCCCAGGCGGGCCGAGCGAGCCGGGGGTCAGGGCAGGCGGGCAGGTGGGGACCCCGGGAGGCCACCCCGCCCTGACGCAAAGGGCACAGCACGCTCCTCCCGCTTCTGTGGAGGATCGGAGAGGAGCTTGGTGCCCTTTGCTGAGTCAGCACCAGTTCCTGGTTCTGGGGGGTCTTGGGGGTGCCATAGGCAGAGAGGGCCCTCCAGCCAAGTCCAGGCATCAGGCTGTGTGCCTGGGTGTCCCATGTCCTTTATGGGCTCAGAAAACTCAGAGCAGGAGCAGGACGGCCACTGGCACTTTGGGCCAGAGCCCGGGCGCTCAGAGTGGGAGACGTGGTCCCAGAAGGTCACGTCTCCAGGTGTCTCCGCGTCCGCATGGAGACTTGAGGTGCTGCGCCCCGTGGGCGCGTGCAGGGCAGGGGGGAGGGGGCCACACTGCCGGGGCCTGGCCGTGTCAGAGGACGAGGGTTGCCCACGCCGCCATCTCTGCAGGGCGTTTTCTTGTCCCGACCCCGTCGGCACAGGGCTCGGGCCCGCGTGGCCCGGTGGGGCCTGCTGTGGTTTCACCCGGGAAAAGAAAGGTGTCTGGCGGCGCCGGCCGACCACAGCAGTCTCCTGCACACTCAGAAAAGACATCTGTGAGTCCCTGCATTTTTATTCTTATCTCTATAAATGGTATTTTTTCTAATGGGGATTGGGAGATGGACTTAGTTTTTAAAAAATATGTGGATTTTGGTTACAAAGTCCAGAGGAATGATACTGCACGTGCACACGAGCAGTCCAGGACGCCCGGCTCCCCCTCTGTCAGCCGACTGTGGACCTGAGCACGATCCCCCCCCACCATGCCCCAGCCCAGGTAAACGAATGCCTTACTGTGTGGGTCCGTGCCGCGTGGCTATGCCCTGCTGCCTCTCCCGGCTCACATTTGTGCGACCGTCCAGGACGGACCTGACGCGGGGCTCCTGCCCCGAGAGCACGCAGCCCTGGGGAGGAAGGTAGCCAAGGATCGCGGGCGAAGGGGTCGGGGACCGCTGGGCGGCAGGGCCAGGCGGGGCTGCGGGGAGTCGGGCTGTGGCAGGAGGCCTGCACAGCCCCTGCTCCTGGGACAGGGCAACTGGCACATTCCTCTGTAAGCAGGAAAAAGGAGGAAATGCACACCCCCCAAAAGACGAATCAGGGAGCGCAGCCCGCCGTGCATCACCACGTAGGCATTTCCTTGAGGTGTCGTTCTGCATCCAGGGTCCTTAATCTGGGTTTTAGAAACTTTGGAAATCTGACACAACCAAGCCCTTGATCTTTTGAGAAAAATCTTAAACTTTGAGGACATTTTGACCGGTGGGGTTTGGGAGGGTTTCTGTTCTGTCTCGTCAGCTAAGCCTGTAGTGTGTATTCTGCAAAGACACTGGCCCTGCTGTGGTGCCTGGGGCCACTGGGCAGCTGTCCTGCTGGCAGGAAGGTCCGCCATAGATAAGTCTCATTTTATGACCCGAGCCAGGGCTTGTGGAGAGGGTGGCCAAGGTGGGGGCCGTGATCACTGCTTGCTCAGCCCTCAGCCCTGCTCGGGGTCGGGAGGCCTCACCTCCTCCCTGCAGTTTGACTCTGAGTCTTAATGGGGCTTTTTGTCATCTTTTTCTATTTAGAGATTTTTATTATAATCAAAAACAGTTATTTTATTTTAAAATGTACAAGCCCACATTTCACGAGGTATTAACTTCTCTGGAATTTATTTTTTTTGAATAATTTTGTTGCTTTCCAGACTATAGAATCCCTGCTTTCCTTGTAATTTCACGTGGCCGAGCCTCCCAGTCTCCTGGGGTGGCAGGTCCCAGGATGGAATTGGTGGGTGCTGGGAGCGGGGAGCACGCCCTGCCCTTTTTCTCCAGGAACAAATGAAAAAGACAGATGGGTTTTTTCCATTTCCAAAATATTTTACACCAAAACGTAAGGTCTGCCCCAACTATAAATTTGATCCAGCGCGAGAAGTAAAATCCCATCTCTAAACTCTATGAAATTAGTGAATCTCTCAGGAGGTTTTCTTTTTATCAAAACTATACGAATGGAAAGAGCAGAGTGTTGGTGATCGTGTGAGTCCAGCTTCGCGTGTCCTTTTCCTCGGCGTGTCCTGTGACAGTCTCTCCCTGGCCAGAGGCCGGCCCGGGGCACTGGGGCTCTGTGTCCACATGGCTGGGAGGGAGCGGCTCTGGCGATCTGGACTCTGAGCTCCTGTTTCCGGCAGCGCGTCTGCGCTCCCTCGTCCGGTGTTTGGAGGCGCACACGCGCCCCCAGCCCCGAGGACTCTTCATCTTGGCTGCGGCTTGGGCTGCTGTTACATCACGGACCCAGTCGTGAACAGCTAAAGGCGGTCTGTGGGATGTTCGTGGAATGAGCCCCAAAAGCTGTTTGCTTCTCCAACTTTGGGTTATATGCTGTTAATTTTATTCTAGAATTCGGACACTTCATATGAATGTAATCCCGCCGAGAGCGCTGTCACTAAGGCACACTCCTCGGTGCCCCCTGTGTGTCCACTGATGTACAGGCCACACGTGACCCCCTGCATGAGCTTCCTCCTGCACCGAGACCAGCCAGAACCGAGCATGAGACCCTGTCACTCAGACAGAGGACTTGAGGCGTTCTCAATAAAACCATGTTTCGCTACCGCAGCCTCGCTGAGATTCTCTCTCCTCCCTGGTTGTTTCCCTCCTTGGTCCGGAGTAGGGTTTGGGAAGGTGTGGGTGGGCGCCAGCCGAGGGCACTGGGCCGACGCTCCACTCCTGTCATCTGTGCGTGACTCTGAGCACCTCCCCTGGGGCTTGGGCCCTCTGATTCCCACCCCCGCCCCACGTGGGTTCCTGGCACACGCCGGCCACTCCCACATGTTAGGCGGAGGAGTGGAACTTGCAGAGCTGGCCCTGCTCCTGCCCGGCTCTAGAGAGGGAGGATGACGTGAGCCCACGTGGTGTGAGGCGTGTGGAGCGCCGTGGACGGGACAGCAGAGGGGGAGCCCACACCAGCTCGTCGCTGGCCAGACTGTCTGGGTGTCGGCCACAGTGGGGCAGCTACCTGGTTACAGGGTAGAGCGGCAGTGTTCAGGGCTGGCGTCTTGGAGGGCCGTTCACAGTAAAGTGGAAACCTGGCTGCAAAGCAGTACTGAAGTTCGCGGTTGTAGAGAAATTCGGATGCTTTATGTAAGAAGGATACAAGCACACACGGAACAATCTGGAAGAGGCTGAGTCTGCTCACTGTGTGTGAATGATGGGATTGGGAGTCATTTTAATTTTATTTTCCTTTTTAAAAATTTTATCTCCTTGTCCGACATTTCTATATCAACATGGAAAGCAAACAGGAAAACCTTTTGAAAAGTCAGAAGTCCCATACAAATAAAAAGCAGCACTGTTATAGACAAGTAATTTACTGTCCTTTGCATCCATTTTGATTCCGTTTTCATTTCTTTCCCCACAATAAAAGCAACATTCAAATGAAAATGTGTGTCATCAAAAAGGGCAGATTAAGCTTCAGAGAAAAGGTTGGGGGCAGCCTCCTCTTTACGAGTTCGTGGGGTCTTCCTGTGGCTCCATCGAGGGGGCAGGCAAGCCCCCGTGTCCTGTGACGGGGCTGACGTGACACGGAGCTCTTGTTCTCCTGCAGGAAAGACTACAGATCCACTCCTGGGATGGGAGGGGGGTCGGGGTGGGTGTGGTGGTGGAGAGAGGAGGAGGGGAGGGGGCAGGCGGGCTGCAGCTGGGGGGCGCGGGGAAGCGGCTACTTTGTAAATTGCCGTCATTTAATTGTTAATAGTGATTAACATTTAGTTAGTCATGTTATTATGAATTTCTTTAGTAAAGGCAGAGGGACCCTGGCGAGTCGGGGCACTGGCCCAGCAGCGAAGGTGCGGGAATTTGGGGAGAGGTCGAACCCAGCCGTTAGTTAAAATCACACCTTGTGAGC